TCTAGGTCTTGGACCAGCAACTGCAATCGACAACATGACCAGTTTCTATGATGTATGTAAGGGAGGAAAATACGTCGATATAATCAAGGCTCCTCGGGGACTATTCTCGGAAAACTGAACCGATGATGTAATTTCTCAGAAACGGTGTTTCAAATGTGAAAATCGTGTTTCAAGTAAAGCACTACGTAAAGCTTCATCTAAAAAATGAATAAAATCCTGAAAACATTGTTAAAAACATTCGAGTTTTGTGTCCTTAACGATCGACGAAGGATCAAGCTAGAATAATTGAGGAGTAAGATAGTCGCTTGTATAATCACTATGGATTATTGCTGTATACATCAGTACCCTTGAGGATTTAACACAGTAAGAAATTTCTTACTTAATTACTCAGCACATGTGAACTATGCAAGATTTTCACACATTAACTCACCTGGCAATGTCGCCGTCTTCGACGATGAAATTTTAAAACTATTTCCTTATCTCAAAATAGTTTTCTTGGTATCTTTAGGCCTATTATGTCGGATTTCCCGGAAAACAGCCTCGCTATGACTATTGGACTTCCCGGATGTAGACTAATTAGTTCTATTAAGGGACCGATCGTTTATTACGGCCCAGGAGGAAGGCGGTGGTTTACAAAAAAGTGTATTGTTTCAAAAACTGAACCCAGCCCAAATATTTTCAGATAAAAATTATATCCCACTTCCCAATTCTTATTTTAAAAATGTACCCCCCTCCTGACGAGGCCATAATTCTCTCCTTCCGTCTTTACACATGCAGATTTTTATCTTGTTTATTCAATATGAAAGGAAGTAGGAGATAGGCCAGCACGGACTAGCTATGTATGTGCTATGGGAAAGGGGCGGTTATTACTGCGTTTCTGATACAGTGGGCTCATTAATCCTGGCAATATTTGTTCCCTGCTCGGGGAAATGTTTCTACTTCTAATCCCATTCTCTCTTCAAGAACAGCCAGCGAGAAATTCTCCTTTATTTACTGGATTCCGTTGTAAAACCTGTTACACTAATGTTGTTTTGTCATAAAATTCGACGCCCCTCACGTTTCTTACTGGTGAAAAATTTATCCCCTAAAAGGGGCTTGTTTTAAAATTGTATACCCCCTCCAAAACCACAGCCACCCCCCCCACCCCACCCCGGGACGTAATAAACGATCGGTCCCTAAAGTCTCTTGCGATTCACAAGTGTTAATTAAATGTTTTTTTTTATCGGCTATTATTGATTGTGAGGAATCCATTATAACTAACACCTGGGAAAAATGAACTATCACTAATCATACCTTGTTTCTGGACTGTTTGCAAAAGCAGGAAGCTAGGTAGCAGATAAAGTTTCAGTTAAGTTGTACGTCACGTAGTTCAGTGAGAGTCTACATTTCCCAATCCTTTTTCTGTCGTCTCGTTCCCTAACTGTAACGAAGGCTCGGAAAACGAGAATGCAGC